GTTTACCACAGCTTTTGAAGTTTAAGAAATGGATATATCTCCCTATCCATAAGGTTTACAGTCAATGGTAGAAAACAACCTCGTTTCATAGTCAATTGTATTTAGTGGGAGTACAACAGGGATAAGGAGGGTAAGAGGAAAGTCAGTGCCTTAAGCATTAATATTTAATAAAATAAACATTCCTATAAAAATAATTTAGAAGGTAGTTAATACATATATTAGCTACTTTAAAACCATACACTGTATTGGTTTCCTAAGGCTGAGGTAACAAAGTACCACAAACTGGGTGGCTTAAAACAACAGAAATTTTACCGTTTCACAGTTCTGGAGGCCAGAAATCTGAGATGAAAGTACTAAAGTGTCAACAGTCATGCTCCCCCTGAAACCTGTGAGAATCTGTCCTTTCCTCTCCCTAGCTTCTGGGGATTTGGTGGCAAGCTCTGGCATTCCTTGGCTTGTAGTCTTGTAACTCCCATCTCTGCCTTCATTGACACATGGCATTCTCCCTTTGTGTCCTGTCTTCACATCATTTTCTCTCTTCTTTTGAGGACACCACTCATAATGGATTAGGAGCCTAACCTACTCCAGTATGACCTTATCTTAACTAATTATAACTGCAACAACACTATTTCCATAAAACGTCACATTCTGGGGTCCTTGAAATTGGGACTTAAAACACACCTTTTTTGTGGAAGGCCACAATTCAATCCATAGCAAGCATTTTGTCCCAGATCATGGGACCTTATGGTAAGTGACCTAGGCATTTTGCATATATTAACTCATTTCAACTTTTTAACAACCCCATGAGGAAAGCATGCTGACCCCACTCTCGAAGGAAGACATGGAGGCTAATAAAGTAACGTGTGCAGAACTGGATTTTAATCTCAACCTGTTGACTCCAAAGCCTGTGCACATTCTCATCTGAAGAGCTGCCTTCTTGGGAATAGTTTTCCTATCCCCTTTTTTTTCTATTGAGAAATATAGATATAATTTCCTAAGTTCTCAAAAACTGTTTCCACCTTTCCCACAATGATGTTAATTTGCCCTGCTCGTTTTCAGAATTACTTTTATCTCATTTCTTCTGTAATTATGTGGTCCAAAGATAAGATCCAGGAGGACATATGTTTTTGATGGGAAATAACTAAAATGCCTAAAATTCAAAACAAATAGGTGTATTATCACCTGAAAAGGTTTATTTGTTCATTCAACAACCTTTTTCAAGTGTCGAGCTTGCACACAGCATTCAACGAGGTCCTGTGCAGCAAACTTGCTATCAAAACTCTTAAATTTCTGAAAAGTTTTAACCAGCCTTTTCTTCAGGAAATATGGTAGGAGTCATGACATTTGGTATAAGGATAAACATTTTTTGTTTAGGTTATTTTCTATGCAAGGTGTTTTTTCTCTAATTACGACTTTTGAATGCAGTAGTATGGAGAGCAGTGGTACACTCTGGTACTTGACTGGAAAACAGGAGCTCTAATGTGATTAGAAAACATTCGTTTGCCTCATCCTGAGAGTCTGGGCAAAAGAAGTCTTTCCTTATAAATTTCCTTCTGGATTCAAATAATGTAGACTTTTTCAAAGAGTACATTGGTTTTTCTACTCTTGCTTTTTGCACTCCCCTTGTCCACACACCTGTTTCAGATGGCCTTTGTTCTCTCTGGTATAGTAGAGAAACCCAGTAAATGGAAAACAGTCTGAAATGTATCCTGTGACGTACCTTGGTGGATTGAGCTAACATTCATTGAACACTTGCAGGCTAGTCACTGTGTAAGGTGCAGTGCCCACCATGATGAATAAAACATAACCTTGGACCTCAATCCAAGAGTTTGGGTCACCTCTGAGAACACTATGATGATTGACTAGAGGAATGGAACAGAGTGGCTTAGAGCAGATCCAAGTCTAGCTGTGTCTTTGCAGGTTGCAGCTGACATGCCTGCTAGACCCTCTGAGCCTGTGAGTGGTGGCAGGGCAGAGCCAGGCCAGCATGGCTTAAGGCTAGAGTAGTCAAACTTGGTTGGCATTTCAGCCCTCTGTGGAGCTTTTTAAAATACACATATATTCCCAGACCCCATCCGAGACCCACTTCATCAAAATCTCCAAGTGACACAAGAATTTGCATTCTGAAAAAGATCTCCAAGTTACTGAACAACTAAGTTTGGAGATCTAGGGCTGTGCTGCCTGATGTGGTAGCCACTGGTCACATCTGGCTATTTAAATTTAATTGAAATGAACAGAAATAAAATAAAAGGTAAAAATTCCACTTCTCATTCCCACCAGCCACATTTCAAGTGCTCAGTAGCCACTCAAGAGCTACCATGCTACTGGGCAGTGCAGATACAGAACATTTCTGCCATCGCAGGAAGTTGTATTAGATGGTGCTGACAGAGCAATGGCAGGTTGGCAGTTCTCACCTCGCCTTCTCATAGATCCACAGATCTCTGCATCTTCCCTTTTGACACGTGTCTCCTTTTACAGAGGCACTTGGGTATTGGTCTTAGTGTCCCCCCATAAGATTATAAGCTCTTTAAGGGCAGGGACTGGTCTTCCTGGCGCTGTGACATAGTAAATACTCAAATGAGTATTTTTTTTAATTGAATTAAATCAGTCGGGTTCAATTAGCAGTTTTATTGGATCTCTTTTGCATTTAGACTGACTCCAGATTTCAGCAGAGTCTGGAGAAAAGGAGGGATCAGAGGGCAGGCTTTTCCTCAATCACAACCCTTAGGATGGATGGGGAGCAGATTTCTGCTAAATTGCAAGCTTTTTTTTTTCTTTTACAGTAAGGCTTTTTAAAACACAGAAGTAGAGGAGACCCAGAGACCCAGCAGGACTGTGAGTATTTGCAAGCTTAAAACTGTTGTCATTTTTGGGCACCTGGAAAGCACATTTTAACTGATTCAGTTAGTCATTTGATTTGGTTATTGAGTGCTCACTATGTGGATGCCAGGCACAGGGTTTGACCCTGGGATGACTCATTTTGAATGAGACAGAAACAGGTTCCTTACCCTGTTAGACTCACACTGTCATACTGGCATATGGGAATATTGGCAAGGATTCTCCCTGCCCAGACAGGTTGGGATGGGAAGGGTGTATGATTTAGGCTCTGGCATTAGATACCTGGATTCACAGAGAACCTCTGCCACCCTACTGCACTAGCTACAAGACCTTAGCCAGGTTATTTCATTTTTCTTGTCATCTGTAAAAATAGGAAACATAATGGTACTCCCCTCATAGCTGAGCATTAAATGAAATAATTTATGTAAAGTACTCAGTGCAGTGCATGTTGCATAATAAGAGCTTAATAAGTACTAACTGCTATTCTTCTTACAACTACTGCTCAGCCAAAACTAGGCTGCAGTGAACATTCAGAAGTAAAAAAACGAGCCTACAAGGTTAGAAAATAATTCATTATTTGGAAAGAATGCTTCCCATCTTTCTTGAGGTAATAGTTTAATTCCTTTAGCTTACTGTTTATATCTTTGCTTGCAGAATAACTAAGATGGATAAGTGGTTTGGTAGATGCCCATTTCTTGTTTTAATTTTTGATTCCCTGGTAAAGGATTTAACTTGTTTGGAACACTTCCTTCCAAGACAATTAGGGATCTGGAAATGCTTTGGGTGTCATTCAGCCTCTCTAGATGTAGAAAGGTATGTGCTTTTTAATATAGTGTGTGCAAAGGAGAATCCTATTAAAGAGGCTTACCATTAAACTGCAAAATTGAAATCCTAAGTAACTGGAATGCAAAGATTTAATTAGTATTGTCTCATTAAAATAAAGTGTAGCTTAATTCTTACCTTCAAAAATGATATTGCCTTTGGAAATACATTCTGGAAATGAGCTGAGACAGGAATGGCTGCATCTTGAAGGCAGTCCCTTGATACCTGGGGAGTTTGCAGGTTGAACCTCCTAAGTCCCTTCCCATCGTTTTTTCTGAGGGAGAAGGGCATTCGCTTGCGTACCTGTATGTAATAATGAAATAAAAATTAAAAATCAGAGACCTGCCATATTCTCACTTAAGATTCAATGAAAACTGCCTTTGCTTTAAGATTTTTCTAGTATTCTACAATCTACAATATCATTACCCAAGGGATGCAGGGGTCCTCAAACTTTTTAAACAGCGGGCCAGTTCACTGTCCCTCAGATGGCTGGAGGACTGGACTATAGTTTAAAAAAACTATGAACAAATTCCTATGCACACTGCACATATCTTATTTTGAAGTCAAAAAACAAACGGGCAGAAACACCCGCATGTGGCCCATGAGCCGTAGTTTTGAGGACTCCTGGGATAGAGGATGTCTCTGTGGTACCTAGGCTATTTGGTAAACAGCTGCTGAACCATCCCTACATCTTCACTGTGACTTTTTGTGCCCAAATCATTTTGGAAGAATTTGTATTGCCTTCAAGAGCTATAAATGCTCCCAGGCAGTGGATTTGTATTTCTCCTGCTTCATTGACAGGACCATTCGTTTGATTTAAAATTGGGGGTTCTTTGGGATGATCATGTTACATGTGGGAGTTGTTGCTTAGAGCATGGGCTTTAAAACCAGAGTGACTCCGTTTGAATCCTGCCTTCACTGCTTCCTAGTTGTGTATCTTGAACAGGTTACTTAATATCTCTATGTGTTGGTTTCCTCGGTGTGAAAGGGGGACAATAATAGTACCTACCTTCTAGGACTTGGGTTCCCTAACTCTTGGTCCAGTACTCTAATCTCTGTACCATACTGCTTCTCAAACTACCTGAGACCCAAATAGGATTCAGAGGTAGACAGCAGTAGGGCACAAGCCCTATTTCCATGACTTACTGGCTCACCTAAGATAAGAAACTTGATCTCTTTATGAAAAATAGGGATGATTATGCTTCCAGGGGTGGGGAACCTACAGCCTTCTGATTTCAAGATTGTTCTTTTTCATGCACCAAAGGAGGTAAGAAAAGCTTCATCTTTCTCTGCTGTACCCCTTTTAATAAAGGAATTATTCTATAAAATTTGGATTCAGTCAAAAGACCTTATGTGAGGAACTAGAAGGCCACAGGTTCCTGGGAATGCAGTATAATGGTTACATAGTAAGTCTTTTATTAAAGTAAGTCTATTGGTAAAGTTAGTTACATTTATATTATAATATTATTCATGAGGGATCTCCTATCTTGAATGCCCAGTTCCAACTCCTATTCATTTTTCAAACCCACTATATACTTCTTTCTGTGAAGTATTTCTGAATTTCTGTGATCTTATAGAGTTTGCAATACACGTTCCATCACCAAATTAAGAGAAGTTTAATTGATGCATTTTACAAATTAAACTTGCAATTTGGCCATGCTTATGGCACAGATCAACATTATGATCAATTCACTGCCATGTTAAAAAAAATCAATGAACATTGTTTAGCTGACCTGACTAATTTTTTGTAATAAGTTGGCCATCAGCATGATTGATTGAGTTGTCTAACCTACCCCTGACTTACATAAGCAAAAGTCAAATTGGAGGTTATTAAAGAAAACAAGCCAATGAACTATCTCTAAATTGAATGATGTTTTCCTATGCTACTAATAAATGGTTGATTAATGGCCAACACCCTTCAAAGAGTTGTAGACCCTGTCCAAGTGGTAAAGAATTTGAACTTAAACCAACTAGACTAAGGGAAGCCATATGGGGTTCTGTAGCATATAGTACACAGTACAGTGTGCTTGGAGATTGGGAATGAGTCAAGCTTGTCCTTCAAATATGTGACCTCACCTCTCTGAAGTGTGCTCTGTAAAAGGATAGGTGACTGTAGATGTGCCAGGTGATTTCTAAGACCTTCTCCAACTTTACCAGTTTGTGCTTCTGTGTATTTCACAGGGAGGCTGGCCTGATTGCTCGGATTGGCTGAATCCAAGTCAGAATCTGAAGTCAGTGTTATTCCCCAGGGCTCTTCCACAAGCACCCTTGCTGACCATCCCAACCCACCTACTTGGATTTAGATTCAGGCCAGCTGCTACTGGGCTTTGGCTTTTCATTTGCCTTTTGTTTTTTACATTTTCTGTGTAATTCTTAAGTCATCCAGTCCAGCCCTACCCTGTCTACCATGCCTGGCCAACCCTCCTGAAAGGGCTAAGCTGCTGTCTATGCCCAGTTCCTCTTAGGCACTGAATGAATTGTGGCCCCAGCTTTCACACTAAGCTTGGAGACCAGCTGTGCCTTTGGGCTTTTCCCAGAGATGCTGGCCGAGGCTGTACCTGCAGTGTGGGGGACTTGCCCTGGCCTGAGAGAGGAAGGAAACAGAGGGGGAATCAGCAGATCATTTGTGCCCATCCTCTTCTTTGCACACTTGTACATTTATATCATCCAAGCACACCAGGGAATTTTTGTCTCTATTAATTAACTAATTAATACTAATAACATGCAAGAAGAACAAAGGAGAAAAAGAAAATAAAATTAAAGAAAGGATAATCAGATTTTTCTCTAGGAACCAGAAAAACCACCACAGAAATTTAAAGTGGTCAGATTCAGAAATGCTGAATTGGGGATCAAGGCCCTTGGGTTTTATCTTGTTCCCCTGGCAATTAACTGGGTCTGTTTGGATTTGCCTAAGGGGATCTCTAAGGTTCTGTTTGCATTTTAAAGTAGGTCTTCCACAAAAAAAGATGTGTCAAATGAATTTTTGTGAATGTAATGCCTTTTTTAATAGCACGAAAGAAGTTTTCTTCAGAGATTCACACCATAAGTTTGTAATTATAGGTTCCCACATATGGAGTGTTTGCCAATAATATTTGAAAATTTATATCTAATCTAGTTATCACATATTCCCTTTAGCTCAGCATTATAGTGCTATTATTATACTTATATAATTCAGAGGTTGCAAACTGGTCAGGGCCGTAAAAAGACTCAGAAAGCAAATAGGTTCTTTTTGGCCTACACAGCTAAAACAGTTTTGGATACCTTTTGGAGTTCATGAACTCTCCAGCTTTTTATATGACCATGACTTCCTACTGTGTTGACTCAACTGCCTTCACCTACCCTGCCCTAGAAGCCATTAAGTTTGAGATCCTTGGCATAATCAAACTCCTCCATCCCTCCATGACAATTTGATAACAAAAAAGGAAAAAGGAAGGAAGGAAGGAAGGAAAAAAGGGAGAGAGGGAGGAAGATCTGCCTCTCTGAAAACGGCTGGCAGTATAGTTTTCCATGACGTTCATAAGATGGGTCAATAAGATGACTTCCTGAGGTTCCCTTTGTCCTGGGAAGCTAAACGTTTTTGTGTAGCTTTACTCTCAAACTGCTTACTGTAAAATACATAACATAAGACACAAAGTCACATGATCTGTTCCAGGTCATCCAGAAGGTGTGTGGTGAAGCCAAAATGAAGAATCCCTTCCCAGGTTCTGTTGCTTGGCCCATTCAGACATGTGGCTGCAGTGCTTGCTGATGAATGATGTGGGCTCTTAGGAATAGTTCCTTATGCAAAAGAGCCTGAGCAAGCTCCATTATGTCCTTGCAAGGGGATACACGTTATTGTTCCTTAATGCATTATGGAGACTATTATAGCTCTTCCTCCCATATGCACCCTCCATCTGCGAACACTAACACACTCTACAGGGTGTTTGGCTTTGGATAATGTGTGAACCCGGAACATAATTTTGGAAAATGGTTGGAGAAAGGAATTTAAGAGTCAGGGGCCAGACAAAAGTCCGAGAAATGAATGTCTTTAAAAATATCCATGTAGATTCAGCATTCAGAATGTATTTAGTGAAGCCCTCTTTCCTTCCCAAGGGAAATAAAATGTACCCTCCATTAAGAATCTGCTGTAATTTCTGTCTTTGGCTCCACCTGCACTAGCCATCTACATTATTTAAGGTTTAGAACTTGTAGTTGATAATACCACAAAAGGCACCCTATCTCTACTGATTCCAACTGCTCATTCCTGCCTTTCATCCTCAACATCCATAAAAAAAGACTCTGATTCAATATGAGACCTCAAACCTGTAAATAATGATAGCTAACATCTATTGGGCACTTGCTATGTGTCAGGTGCTCTGCCAAAGGCTTTGCATTTGACATCACATTTTAATTTTCTCACTACTCTTACAAAGTAAGTTATATGGTCTCCATTTTCTAAAAGAGCAAACTGAGACTTAGAAAGCTTCAATAACTTGCCCAAGGTCACCGAGCTGAATTTGAAACCAGGTCTGTCTCTCCAGAAGCCACACGCTTAACTCTATGCTATATTCTTCCTGTTTCGGACAGCTTCAGGCCCTTGTGGGTGTGACAGTCAGCACATGGACCTGCAGCAGAAGGGAGAGGGGCCATCAGCCGTGGGGGATCCTTCTGGGAGGTCAGTCCATACAGTGGAGTCTAGCTTCACCCTGCCCTCCTTGGGAGTGGCTAGAGGGAGAGTTTGTGTCAAAGCTATGCAATTTTTAACCCTATAGGGCCAGAAGGAAAGCATCTGTGAACAAAAATCTCATTTCCCTATTTTCAAGCCATTTCTAAATAAAAAGAAGCAAATTTGAATGTTGCATTAGCCCTGGATCTATTTGGAGACCAAGAGAGCTAAAAGAATGATTTTTCTGAACATTATCTACATGATATGAATTTGGCTACCAAAGAAAGTATGTATAAAAGCACATGTCCTAAAAAGGCATTTTGATTCATTTTGGGATCAAAATCTTAGTTCTTCATTGCTGTGACTACACTACCTATGAAATTATGTTAATTTCCAGGTTGGAGGTTTGTGTTTTATAATTTGCCTGGCTAGGTTTTTACTTTAGTTTTAATGTAATCTTTTGTCTCTGGATTTCTAACACTATTAATACCAATAATACTGGTGGAAAATATAGTGGAAATGACAAATAATAATAATAATGACTCTTTACCAAATACTTGCCATGCCCAAGGGTCTTATGGAGATTTGTGCATTCATTACCTCCTAATAATAGCAGGATGGAAGTGAAATTTACTGGCAAACTTGATAAGGTTCCAGAGATTCAAATAAGTATTTGAGGGCCCACTATGTACTAGACTCTTTCCCAGGCCTAGGCTGAATACTTTCACACAGGTTATTTTATTTAGTTATCATAATTTTCATGTAAGAAGCATATATAATTAGCCTTAAGTTTAGCTATGGAATCTGAGACACAGAGGATTTAAGTACAAATATTCCTCAACTTACATGGAGTTACATCCTGATAAATCCATTGTAAGTTGAAGATATCATTAAGTCAAAAATGCATTTAATACATCTAACCAACCAAACATTGTGGTCTACCTTAAACTTGCTCAGAACACTTATATTAACTTACAGTTGGGCAAAATCATCTGATACAAAGCCTATTTTATAATAAAATGTTGAATATCTCATGTAATTGAATACTGTAATAAAAATGAAGAACAGAATGGTGCTCTATGGGTACTGAAGTATGGTTTCTACTGAATGCATACCACTTTCATACCATTTTTAAAGTCGGAAAATCTTAAGTCAAACCATCGTAAGTTGGTGACAGTCTGTAGTTTGCACAGGTTATAGGTCTAATAAGTAGAGAAGCATACTTTGAATAGAGGCAACTTGATTTCCCCAGGACAGAATTCTTCCTACAACCCTAGAGCTGCCTGATTTTTTTTTTTTTTTACAATAACAAGAGTGCACATAACCGTCATGTTACTGTGAATGCATATTTCTTTTTGCCCGACTCCTAGCTGTAAGTCCCACCAACTATTGTCATTTGGTGAAACTAACATTCCATCTAACACAGTTCCATGGGGGAAATGAGAGTCCTTGCCATGTGCACTGATGGTGATGCACTTGGATGGAATTCAGTCCATTCCTTTGGAATTTATATTTAGAGCAGAGTGACCCAAACATATCTTGTTGGGGGGCAGGGAAGCCACAAATGTAATTGTATAACTATGGGACTCTTGAAATGTGTCCCTTGCCAATTCTGGGCCTTTAAAGCCGTGGTTTGCTATCTAAGGGAATGTTTCTTTAAACTGCCAGACTTGTTTGTGGAACATCATTCTAGTAATTAGCAGGGCATTTTCTTCTCATATGTGACAGACTTAGTCAGCCCTAGAAAAAAGAAATTTCATTTGTTTTTAATCTATGCCAGCCATTTGTTGTTGTTGTTGCAGAATTTAAAATAATTAATTTGTATGTGTGATAAAAGTTGGCCTGAATTATAATGGATTTACATTTTCACTGTGGTAACAAACATTAAATTTACCATGTCCCATTTTTAAGTGTACAGTTCAGTTGTGTTAAGTATATTCACATTATTATGCAACAGATGTCTAGAACTTTTTTTTCATCTTGTAAAATGGAAACTTGGAAACTCTATACCTATTAAATACTAATTTTCCCCACTCTATCCCCAGCCCTTGGCAACTACCTTTCTATTTTCTGTTTCTATGACTTTGACCACTTTAGATACTTCATATGAATAGAATCATATAGTATTTGTCCTTTTGTAACTGACTTGTTTCATAATGTCCTCAAGATTCATCCATGTTGTAGCATATGACAGGATTTTCTTCTTTTTAAAAGCTGCATAATATTCCATTGTATGTATACAATCCATTTTCTTTATCATGTCATCTGTTGCCAGACATTTGGGTTGCTTCTATCTCTTGGCTATTGTGTATAATGTTGCGGTAAAAGTGGGTGTGCAAATATTTCTTTGAGATCATGCTTTGAATTTTTTTGGATATATACCCAGAAATGGGATTGCAGGATTATATGGTGATTGTATTTTTAGTTTTTTGAGAAACTACCGTACTGTTTTCTGTAATTTCTGACGTATATGTTCATATTATAGAATTTCATGATAAAAGTCAGAGTCAACTACTTTTATAATATTGAAAAGTTTCTTCCTCATAGAATCAGCAGGCATCCAGTATCACGTAGCATAATCATGCAATCATTTCCTGCTCCTACCTCAGACTTTCCAGAATCTGGATGGGATGATTTTTATCTTGTTAGAAAAGTAACATAGTTTGAATATTTTGTAAAACGACAAAAAAGTAGTAGGACTTTTTCTTTCTTTCTTAGTATAAATGACTTAGTAAAGTCATATAACTTTCTTAGTAAAATATGATTTAAATATATAACTTTTAGTATTCGCTATTTGTATTATTATACTTCTTGGTCAATCACAAGGATAACTATGTTTTGCAAAGTAAAAAGGCTAATGGTAGCAGCATGAATTGAGAGCTTGCTATGGGTTGAACACTTGGCTTTAAGCATACTATATGCTTTATTTTATAGAATCCTTATATAGAATCCTTTATAGAATCCTTATATGAGGGGAAAGAGAACACTAGTCACTGAAGTTCCTTCAGTTCTCAAAACTGAAGTGTACCATAGCAAGACAAATGTCAAAAAACCTAAGTCTTTACTTTGAATACCTTAATAAGTGAATGGCCCATTTTGAGAGAACAGGACAAACACTGGCTCCATAATGGCTTTTTACACCTGGATTGGAAGGCAGAAAACTGTAACTGTTAACCACTAATATCTTTACACATAGATGCAAGATGATAATAAATAACACATAATTCACTTTTATGAGCATTTAGTATGTGTCAGTCATTACGCTAAGAGCTTTACATAGATTTCTTTAATTCTCTTGATCCTACCATTCTAAAAGTTGGTACTTTTATGACCAACTCCATTTTATAGATGAAGAAACTTAGGCTTCAAGAAGTTAAATAAATATATTCATGGTCCTACATCTATTAATTGGTCAGAGACATTATCATGAGATTAATGAAATCATGTATGTGAGATATATACACATGTATTAAGCATGTTTGTGTTTTTAATGGAGACCAGTGATATGATGGAATAGAGTCCTTTTATAAAATATTTTATTCAGTCAAGATCAGATCTGGTGATTAGAATATAGGAAAAAATTAATGTTTTCCTTTTGTAGTTATGTTAAATTAGCTTTTTACATAAGAATAATTGAGCTAGAAAAGCATTGTTTCAATATATATACATAACATACCATTTGGGAAAGAAAGAATTCCTGGAAACAAATAAGGTGTTAATTAAAATGTAAATAACTAAAAATGAGTCTTTTACAAACTACCTTTAATGTTTGCTTTTACTAGAAATGACCTTTAAAATTTTTAGAGCTATAAATATATGTAGTTTCTAAACTCATCTTTGTTTTTAAAGAAATGACATCTGAGGGCTTTTCTGAGTGTTCCTAATAAGTTCATGTAGGCGGTTGTGCATTTGTGTGTGTTTGTGTGCATTGTTTAATGTACTACCCAGTAGTATGTGCATTCCCAATTTAATTGTAAAAGTGAAGGAACACTAAAGCTCGTGTTAGTTTAGTAAGTGGGATATAGTAAGAATGTCCTGCAATTTAACAGTTTGTTAATTATTTTAAATGGATTTAGAATGTTTCTGTTATTAGATTTGTGACTCTGCCTTTTTAATAAACAAAAGAAAGGCTATCGTGTAGAAAGTATATGGAATACGCGTAACCTCTGTCCTAATCTCATTTTCAGGCACATCTCCAGACTTTGATTTGGCTGAAGTGACTCATGCCACGGACCTGTGCACATGCCTGGAATTGAGAGACACAGGTAAAAGATTCCAAATCGAGTCCTGCCTTTTGAAAACTCCAGAAAACCATCCCTTCAGACTCTGGAATTCGACATATCTCAACAAAGACTTTGTTTGAATGTTTACATTTTTTGCTTGCTGTCCTACATATCACTATATAGTGTTCCCATTTTATTAAAACTTACGAGCATCAGAAGTGGAGCTTTCTCGGGGAGCCAGCATGGCTAGGATGAGCTTTGTTGTAGCAGCTTGCCGGTTGGTGCTGAGCTTGCTAATGACTTCATTAACTGAGTCTTCCATGCAGAATAGCGAGTGTCCACAACTCTGCGTGTGTGAAATCCGTCCCTGGTTTACCCCACAGTCCACATACAGAGAAGCCACCACCGTTGATTGCAATGATCTCCGCTTAACAAGGATTCCCAGCAACCTTTCTAGTGACACGCAAGTGCTTCTCTTACAGAGCAATAACATCGCAAAGACTGTGGATGAGCTGCAGCAGCTTTTCAACTTGACTGAGCTAGATTTCTCCCAAAACAACTTCACAAATATTAAGGAGGTAGGACTGGCAAACCTGACCCAGCTCACTACTCTGCATTTGGAGGAAAATCAGATTACAGAGATGACTGATTACTGTCTGCAAGACCTCAGCAACCTTCAAGAACTCTACATCAACCACAACCAGATTAGCACTATTTCTGCTAATGCTTTTTCAGGCTTAAAAAATCTTTTACGGCTCCACCTGAACTCCAACAAATTGAAAGTTATTGATAGTCGCTGGTTTGATTCTACACCCAACTTGGAAATTCTCATGATTGGAGAAAACCCTGTGATTGGAATTCTGGATATGAACTTCAAACCCCTCTCAAATTTGAGAAGCTTAGTTTTGGCAGGAATGTATCTCACTGATATTCCTGGAAATGCGTTGGTGGGCTTAGATAGCCTCGAGAGCCTATCTTTTTACGATAACAAACTGGTTAAAGTCCCTCAACTTGCCCTGCAAAAGGTTCCAAATTTGAAATTCTTAGACCTCAATAAAAACCCCATTCACAAAATCCAAGAAGGGGACTTCAAAAATATGCTCCGGTTAAAAGAACTGGGCATCAACAATATGGGGGAACTCGTTTCTGTCGACCGCTATGCCCTAGACAACTTGCCTGAACTCACAAAGCTAGAAGCCACCAACAACCCCAAACTATCTTATATCCACCGCTTGGCTTTTCGAAGTGTTCCTGCCCTGGAAAGCTTGATGTTGAACAACAATGCCTTGAATGCCGTCTACCAAAAGACAGTCGAATCCCTTCCCAATCTTCGTGAGATCAGTATCCACAGCAACCCCCTGAGGTGTGACTGTGTCATCCACTGGATTAACTCCAACAAAACAAACATCCGCTTCATGGAGCCCTTATCCATGTTCTGTGCCATGCCGCCCGAATACAAAGGGCAGCAGGTGAAGGAAGTTTTAATCCAGGATTCAAGTGAACAGTGCCTCCCGATGATATCTCACGACACATTCCCAAATCATTTAAACATGGATATTGGCACGACGGTTTTCCTAGACTGTCGGGCAATGGCTGAGCCAGAACCTGAAATTTACTGGGTCACTCCCATTGGAAATAAGATAACTGTGGAAACCCTTTCAGATAAATACAAGCTAAGTAGCGAAGGCACCTTGGAAATATCTAACATACAAATTGAAGACTCAGGAAGATACACTTGTGTTGCCCAGAATGTCCAAGGGGCAGACACTCGAGTGGCAACAATTAAGGTTAATGGGACCCTTCTGGATGGTACCCAGGTGCTAAAAATATATGTCAAGCAGGCAGAATCCCATTCCATCTTACTGTCCTGGAAAGTTAATTCCAATGTCATGACGTCAAACTTAAAATGGTCAACTGCCACCGTGAAGATTGACAACCCCCACATAACCTACACGGCGAGGGTCCCAGTAGATGTCCACGAATACAATCTAACACATCTACAGCCTTCCACAGATTACGAAGTGTGTCTCACCGTGTCCAATATTCATCAGCAGACTCAAAAGTCATGCGTAAACGTCACAACCAAAAACGCCGCCTTCGCGCTGGACATCTCTGATCAAGAAACCAGCACAGCCCTCGCTGCGGTCATGGGCTCTATGTTTGCCGTCATTAGCCTTGCGTCCATTGCTGTGTACTTTGCCAAAAGATTTAAGAGAAAAAACTACCACCACTCACTAAAAAAGTATATGCAAAAAACCTCTTCGATCCCACTAAATGAGCTGTACCCACCACTCATTAACCTCTGGGAAGGCGACAGCGAGAAAGACAAAGATGGTTCTGCAGACACCAAGCCAACCCAGGTTGACACATCCAGAAGCTATTACATGTGGTAACTCAGAGGATATTTTGCTTCTGGTAGTAAGGAGCACAAAGACGTTTTTGCTTTATTCTGCAAAAGTAACAAGTTGAAGACTTTTGTATTTTTGACTTTGCTAGTTTGTGGCAGAGTGGAGAGGACGGGTGGATATTTCAAATTTTTTTAGTATAGCGTATCGCAAGGGTTTGACACGGCTGGCAGCAACTCTAGGCTTCCAGTTTGTGTGGTTTTTTAATTCTTATCATTATTATGATTATTATTATATTATTATTATTTTATTTTAGTTTGTTGTGCTAAACTCAATAATGCTGTTCTAACTACAGTGCTCAATAAAATTATTAATGACAGGTTGGGGTTCCCCTGTGCTTTTACCAGTAGCATGACCCCTTCTTCTGAAGCCATCGGTAGAAAGTACCAAGTCCTCCAAAAAGCTAACATATGGTATTGAAGCAGCATTGAACCTTTTGTAGCAATCTGGTCTACAGACTTTTAACTCCAGAAACTAAGGCTAGACTTGTTACCTTTGTTGAATGATGTTAGTTGACTGTACTGTAATGTTGTATCAACTGAATTGAATGTTTGCCTTTGAACAATGACTTTTCTTTTTCTTTTGTAATAGTTACAGAAGCTTAGAATAAGCTAACAGGCAATAGAAATATGTATATCAGATTTTTTAATGTAACAAACTACATGTTAATTGTTACCTTATTCTTTTTATCTTTAGTAGACACTTTTAAAAGAAAAGACAATAATTTTGTTGTGTTTAACTCACCAACATGTGGTGTATAATGAAGACAGAACTATAATAAATTAGTTTTGTTCTGATTTTTTAGAACACTTGCAATAATGTATCATTTATAGTTCTTGTTAGTTGCAGTGGTAATATTTTTCACATCCATAAAGACAACAACCCAAAATAAATCAGCTATAGCATGTTGCTTTTTAAAGACAAGCCCTAAAAAGTTTGAATTCACTTTCTAAGGGAAAAAAATCTATTTTAATTAAGATATTTTAATGAATAGGATTTCTATATTTTAAATATTACTGACCAGAACCTAATGTGTATTGGGGAGCGAGCATATGAAGGAAAAGGTATATTACTGTATCCCATGAATAACTAAACATGGTAAATATATAATATATACATATTTATCAATATATTCTTTTTCTGTAAGAGTTTTGCTAAAACCTGATTTTTTTTGTAGTACCCACACCCTCCATCAAAGTATAAAACATAGATCTACAGAGTGTTCCAAAATGTATTATATGTTATTCCTTTTTAAAAGCTGTCTAAGTGCTTAGGCCTCTATTACTCTAAATATCTGTGTGGATATATCTACTTGTGAGGCAAGTAAATGATTAATAGAAAACAGAATAGCTTATGTACTGTTGACATTTTTCATCCAAATAATATATAGAAAGTTTTCCAGAATTAAGTGTTTCAAGATTACATGAGAACTGTGTATGTGAAATTTAGAACAGAAGGAGCTAGGTTTAAGTAGAAGGCCAGTTCCACAAAGCATAGAAGGGCAGGATTTAAAAGTGTAGGTAGAGAAGAAAGGGCCCATTAGAAAATGTGAATTGATAAGGCAGAGAAATAAAGAAAGGCTGTTCTAAATGGCAGCTGCTGCCAGGCACACACTGTCACACCAGGAATGATGAGAACTAAGGAACTAAGAAGAAGCAGGTGCCAGATGAGCAAAAGCAATGAAAAAGGAGCAGAAAGTCCATCCAGGTGAGAAGTAGGCTGAGGGACTTCTTTCTTTGTCAAACCCCTTGTTTTGTGAATCACAAAAAGATCATCACTTCCCCCCCATTTCTAAGGGATTTGGGGGAAAAAGAGAATTTCAGATGCTGAAAAAAGAGCTGCAACAACAACAACAACAAAACAAGAAATATTGGGGCTTAAAGCATCCTTTCCCAAAGTCTCCATTTATTGGTGAGAAAAACCGGGGCCCAGGGAGGGTGAGCAGCTTGCACACGTCAGGCTCCTTGTCCATTCGGCACGCTGCACTCCATCGAACGCTCTAGGCCCTGCAGCCTTCTAGCTTCCCGTGCAGGGGTCCTCCTTTACAGTTCTAAATAACCTCTGGTGCCCCTGCTTCACAAATACAGTATATCCTCAAGTTCCTATTTATTCAGGATAAATTTTAGCACAGGGCATACCAGAGGGTCAGGAAAGGGTCTACACTGTTGGTACTGCCAAGTATGTGTCGGAAACATGGAGAACTGGAGATGCTTTGGATGTAGCCTTGGGGCATTTCCTGTCGGTGAATCCATCTTCAGACACCTGCAGAGAATAGTGGACCATCTAACAACGTCCCTGATAATCTCTGAGCTGTGAAAGGGGGTGGCACTGACGTATGAGACACTCGGGTGCGAGCAGCTGCAAATCTGCAAGGCATCCTTCAGCCCATAAAGCAATGATTTTAACCTGGCACAGAATAAGCACTTAAATATTGGTAGAATAAATGAAGGAAAAAAAAAAACTCAACCATTTCTCCATTCTGAATATATAGCAAGCACCAGGAAATCTATTTTTTTTTTTTTCGGTTAAAAATATCTTTTGCCAGGCCAGTTTGGGGGAAGAAAATTCCTTTTACTTTTTTCTCCTACAATAAATACTAGAACTTATTTTTTCCCTTCTGTGATAATGGGTTGGTTTTCTGTTGAGAGAAAGCAACATGGTGGGGTACTTTTTTTCTCTGGCCAACTATTTCCTCATTTGCACTTAATTTAATTTGAAAAATTAGACAATGAAGTTAGATATCAAACTAGGTCCTGATTGATAATGGAAGTTATATCATCTTTACCAGTGAAGTGATTATTATAGGTCACTTTCTAATTTTGTGCTTTCCCTTTTGTTTCCTGCTGCCCTCAGGGCATATAGTGTATCTCTAACCTGATTTTACAAGGTTATTTTTGGAGCAGCTTCTTAAAACAGGCATTCCTTAATTTGCTCATTTAATTAATGACAAATTGAACTGATGCCATGAATATAAAAACAAATGTAATGTTTGATTATCAATGTCTCTAATTTGGCAGAAAGGAATCATCTCTATTCTTTTGCAAACAAACAATATCAAAGGTCTATATTTTCTCTCTTGTGGTTTCTATTTATGCATTCGTTCTTTCATTTACTAAGGATACCACAATCAATCCTTTACTTGGTGTTTGCTTTCTATCTCTTTATTCGTTTTCCAAGGCATTTTCTTTCTTCATTACGGTTTTTACCATTAAAAAAAAAAGTTTTATATCTCTAACACTTGGCTGGGAAAATCATACTTTGTGCCTTTCTATTCACTGAAAAGGAGAATTTAACTACTTCTGATGCATTCTAAGTACAAATGAAAATGCTTTCTTCACCTCAATTCTTTTACTCTTGCCCTGCTTGCAAATAGACCTTTTTTTTATTCAAAAGGGATTAGCTGGGAGATAAAAATGTTTCTTTAAAGATTGGTGATTCAGAATCACCATCCAGTACTCTAGAATAATTCAGGCCTAGAGTCTGTGTAGGACTTTATCTAGTCTGGTGTGGACATGATCCCCCTGTCCCCCTCTGTTCCCCACCTGCATTGCCAGTACGTTATGTTGGGAACTTAAGGCACATAGTAAGAATAACAAGATGGTGAGGGAAGTAATGATTTTTATACTTGCTGGTTTAGCATTGCCCAGTACCGGGTAACAGAATTAAATGGGTTTCTTGTATTAGAGAACTCCTCAGAGACTTGGCAGTACTAATATAAAGTATTCAGCACTTCCCACGGTCATGTAACCATTGGTGTATCTCAGGGTACCAATCTGCACCACAGGTCCTGAGAAATTGAGGTTTTAATTTCTGGAAAATAGTATGGTAAATTAGATACTATTCTTTCCAATTCACAGATAAGAAAACTGAGACTCATAGAAGTAACCATTCATCTGATGCCATATAGCTCTGTAAGTAGGTGACTATTATGGGGTCCCGTCACTCCCAGTTTTCTCCCCCTCCATCCAGCACCCTTCTGAGGTGGAAGGAGGAGCAGATGCTGGAAGTCACAGGGCACATATACCAAGGCACAGTAAATATGGAAAGGGGAGCTCTTGGGAGACAGCACTGAAGGTTTTCTTTATGTCTTAACATTTATTTTTCTCTCTTCTCTTTTAAGAAAATTTATATGCTGGGGATCTGAGATACATACCAAAACTAATTTTGTATCAGGCTGAATTTTAATTCTAATCTTCACCTCCCCCATACTATTCTCTCTGTTAAATACTCATCAAATTAAACTATGTAAAGATTTTTGTGGGGAAGACTCCAAGCTCATTCTTTCCTTAGCAGGAAATCATGGAAAGCTTTTATAAACTTAATCACAAACTCAATGTTTAGCTCTGAAGCTTAAATAGGGAAATGTGAAGTTGCAAGGGCAGTAACAGATGTGCCCCAAAACATACATAACAGTCAGACACAAATGGCTCTTGCATAATCACGGAATTTGTAGAGATATTTAGGAAATCCTCTGGTCACCCTACTCCTTGCAAAGTCTATATGGATGCCATCAGACACTAAAATGGCATACATTTAAAAAAAAATAAATGCAATTGCCCTCTCAATGTACCCCATTTTGTCAGTTATATACTATTTAATATGAAGCAAAACCAGTATTATGCACCTCACGAAAGTAGCTCTGGGCACAAATTGGGTCAGATCATGCCTCTCCTTTACACTTTGGCCTGACTGTCCCCCTCCCATAAGATTAGACTGACAAAGTAAATTTCAGCTTGGGCCCTGACAGAATGATCATGAATTCCTAATAAAGGGGGTGTCCTGAATAATGCATCAGTCTTCATATTAGCATATCTCGCTAATGTAAACAGAAGACAGGGTGGTCATGAGGAGAAGGCAAACAGCTCATGTAATTATAGCAGGCAAGATGACATTTTTATAGCAGTGACTTAATGAGGGGAAAAGAGGGAGAAACGTCAATTGTGTAGCCCTCTGTTGGGAGCTCCCCATGGATTATGTACATTGAATCCTTTCAATTGCCCATGTTGTCCCTGTGTTAGAGAAAAGAATAGTGGATACTGGCCTCAGAGAGTAAAGCAACTTGCCCGAAATCACAAAGTTGCTAAGAAGCAGAACTGGGACTTAGATCAGGCCTATATGAACTAAAACTTTTAGTTTTCCTATTATATAATGATCCACAAACTAAATCCAGATCAGGAATGTAGACTAAAGCCCAAAAACCCATTTGACACTTAAGACAGGAAAAATGGAACAAAGGGAGGGTCTAATTTAAGACCCAAACCTGAGATCAATATATGGAAATTACACGAAACCAAAGAGGAAAAAGTAAAGGACAACTCTTCAAAGTTTGTGTCAACTCCATATAAACAACTGGAAGAAACTGAAGCTGCAAAAGAAAAAATAGTAAATAACAGCAATAATAATAATAATAAACCAAAATGGGGGCAGGATGATGAGAGTCAAAACAGATACGATGGATTTCCATGTATGAGCACTTGGCCTGTATTGTCTCACAGAATCCTCAATAACTGTGTAAAGCAGGTGTTCATATCCTCAGTTTCCACATGGAGAAACTGAGGCCCAGTTCATCAGTCATAAGTGATGAAGCCAATATTTCAACCCTGGCTGTGAGACTCCAAAGCCCAAAACTAACCACTAAACTATTTTCTAGGTAAAAGAGGCATCCAGCGTACTGGGCTGGACACCTCATTGGCAGGATTGATTTAGTTCTTTCCTGAGAATGGGGTGCAAAGAAGAGTAGGTTTCAGGATCTTGCAAGGACCTTCCCACAGAAGGTTTGTTAACATGACATTTAATGCGACAGGCTT